GGCCGGGTGGGGGGCGGGGAATAAGCGTTTTGTAGTGGAAAAGGGTAAAAGAAAACAAATACTTGGCATTTTTTGCAGTGAAGAGTGAATGCTCTCCTTCCCAGGGACAGCAGCTGAGGTCTCCATGAAAATCAGAGGCTCCCCAGGGTTTTCCAGGGAAGCCACAGCCCTCCACCGAGGAGGGCACCCTGCTGCCCTGGCACCTCGTGGCAAGCTCGCGGACAAGGTGCCCCAGGATGGGATGGTGGCACCCGGGTCTGGGGACCACCGGGGCAAGAGGTGGCAGGTCGGGGGGGGGGCGCATAGAAGGGGATCCCAAGGTGGGTGCATAGCTGGGCGCTGTGCAGTGCAGGGTGGGCTCTCACCCCTGCCCCGGCGCTGCATGGAGGTGGGAGCTAATGAGCAGGGATGCTTCTTGCGGTGGAATCAAATGTGATGGAAGAAACCCCTACTACAGCAGGCAGCTTTCGTGAACTTTTCCTGGCTTCTCTGTGAGTTTATTTTATAAGGGGCTTCCACTTGATGCAGCGTTTTGGGTTTTAGCATGTACTCTGCTATACCAATCTCTACAAAACTGGCTCTTGAGTGGCAGAAAGAAAAGCAAAGTTAGGTGAAGTGTGTATAAAAATAACTGCAGAGTTGTCACCCCATCTTCAGTGCACCTCTACCAACCAAGCAAGACAGCCATGTGGCCCCTAACAGGCATTTAGGAGATTTCGATGGGAGACGTGTTTCTTCTTTCCCAGAAGGGAGGCTTCAGGAGGGTTCAGCCTTTCAGGGAGCTCAGCGATTCAAATGTGAACCCTGCACTTAGTGCTCAAAGCCCACAGCTTGCTCCAGAGGCTGCCCGAAGGCAGCGAAAGAGTTACCTCCAGAGCAACAGCCCCGGGTGATGAAGTGGATAAGCAGGCACTCCATTCATCTGCCTGACCTTGGGCTGTGGCAGAGGAAAGGCATCCCCGCTGCCCCCGGGAATAAAGGCCAAGGGAAGGAGGGTGACTCCGGAGTCCTGCTGGATCCCGCTGGGAAGGGCGGCTGGGCCGTCCCATCGTCCTGCTTGGAAAGCGGCGAGGGCCACCCGCTGCAACCCACCCCCTGCAGAAAGTGAACCCATACGTTGCCCAGGCCCACCTTCTGGTTTAAGAGCGGAAAAAAGTTCTGGGTTTTTGATTTTTTTTCTTTTTTTTTACTTGCCTTGTTATCTCTGGGAGCACAGGCTTGAAGGAGTAGTTTATACTGGGCTGGACTGTGCCATGTGAACAAACAAGAGTCCACTTGGGGAAAGGTGGGTTTGTCGGGGTTTTTTTAATTATTATTTTTCAAAAGCCACAGCTGGAGCTACCTCAATGCAAACGCTCCAGGAGGAGAAACATGAAATGCTGAGGGCTGAGCCTTTCTAAGCCTAATTATTGGAAGTGTCCCGTCTGTAGCCCTGTTGTGGCGAAACACGCGCTGAAGCGGTAGGAGCCAGGGCTACAAATGTCACAGTTTACGACGAGCTCAGCTACTCCCGGTGCCATTGATTTCCCCGCAGTCCAACGTCTTCTCCTCCTGCCTGAGGAGGGGCTGTGTCCGTGGGGGGACTGCACCTGGGCCGTAACACCCCGCGCTCCCCACGGGGCGACCCACGCCGCTTCGGGGAGCAAACTGGAGACGAGGAGCGGGTGCAACCGGGTGGGCAGGTGCCAGCGAGCCGTCGGCCCGGGAGGGCGAGCGGGTGGCCGGGAGTCCCCGGAGCAGCGTCCCATCCCGTCGAGTCCCGCCGACAGCGGCTGCCCCACCGGCGGGATGGACGAGCAGGGCTTGGCCCGGGCGCAGAAGGAAAGGATCCCGGGGCTCTGTTGACATAACAAACCACTAGAGAGCACTCTCAAATGTATTTATACCGTTTGCCGAAGTGCTAGTTCATAAAAACACACGGTTGCCATGGCCTGGTTTACAGCACATCTAAAAAGAGAGCTCCCAAACATACCAGGTTTTCTGAGGCCACCGCAAAGGCAGTCAAAGCCTCCCTTGCGTGGCACCTTTCCCACCCCCCGGGGACCCAGGCGCAGGGCAGCACCCGCCGGCTCCACGCACCCCCCCTTGCCCCACACTGCTGCCCGATTACAAATACGTGTCGGAAACAGTATTAAAAAAAAAATTGAAAAATACTGCACTTGGGCAACTATAGCTTTTTCGAGTTTTCTTTTTTTTATATACAAAAAAAATGCAAGAAGTATTTAAAGCTCCTAGTTTCCTTATACTTAGTTCCAGAAGTGAAGAAAAAAAAAATCAATGTAAAAATGTCAACAGGTTAGTTCAGCAGCTATCAACAAAAGCACCATACAGGTGATCAGCCAGGAAAGAAAGATCTTTGAAAAAAAAGGGATGGAAGTAGGTTTGAAAAAAAAAAATTTAAAAAAATCACACATTCTTCATTAAAACACTTTTAATACTACACAAGTTACAGTATCACCTTTTAAAAAGTTTAAAAAGGAATATTAACAGCAGCACTGTTTCAGCTAAAGCACTTCAAAATAATAAAAAAAAAAAAGAAAAAAAAAAGAAAAAAGCTAGTAGCCCAGCAAGTAGTAAACTGGTATAAAGGGAGAATCCACCAGAGCGTTATTGTAACTCAGTAAAGCAACCAAAAGGAAAAAAGCAACACTGAATGTGAGAAAAATGAGCTATGTATGAACACCCTCAGATTTTTTTTTTTTTTTCCCCTTTTTTTTTCGTTTTGTTTGTTTGTTTTGTTTCCTTTTGCCATTCTTAAGTTCTATGGTGCAGGTTAGACTTGGCCAGGGTCTGGGGGCTGAGCATCAGCTGAGCGAGCGTAGCCACCACGAGCCATTTCTTTTCCACCTACATTGTTCCCAGGCCACTGCCTGGCATCACTGGTGGGGAGTTTCCATCCTCTCCAAGAGTCCCAGAGCTGCGGGAGCGGGGCGGCTGGCGGGGAGGAGGAGGAGGAGGTGGAGGAGGAGGAGGAGGGTGCGCTTCCTCACTGCCCTCTCTGCCCAGTCCCACCAACATCCCTCAGCCCCAAAACAAGGGGATGCTTTGTCAGGAGCAGGTCTTGCCCTCGGCAGGCTGCGAGCTGGGCCACCTTGTAACGCAAAAGGGGGAGCCTTTTTAGGGAGGCTTTGGGGTTTCGGTTTTGCTTCTTTTTTAAGAGTAGGGATACCACCTTAATCAAAAACATGAGCTTCATCCCATGCGAGGTATTATGCCAAGCAACTTTGAAGAACTTGTTACCATCTATCAACTCAAAATCCATTTTTTTTTAATAAAGTGCCTAAATACACATTTACACAGATCATAGTGGTTCCAAAGAATCCTTTACAGTTGGTTTTTTTATATATAGGTATATATATAGGTATATATATATATAATGTGCGTTTTCTTCAAATTGGCTAAATGTGTTTACATAAGACACCAATCTTGACTATAGGTATAAGTTTTAAAGCGTAATATTGACTCAATGAATTTGTTTATCATGCAAGTCTTACCTAATATTACATTGACCTGTAATATGGAACACAATGTAGTGGGTGTGCTCATTAAACACTTCATAAAAAATTACTGTGCATGTGCAGTTCTGATCTTCAAATACTAATCATGACCATTTCTTTTTTTTTTTAGAAGAAAAAAGAAAAGTAGTCTTCCAAAAAAGATCTACTCTGCATTAAATTGCAGTCTGAACATCATCACAATAAGAACAGTTGACTAAAAAGCACCCAAAATTCTTCAAATTATAGTCGGCTGAACAGACTTTTCCTCCTCCTCTTCCGATACTGAAAGTGTTTATTAGCCCGTCCCCGGGAAGGGACGACCTCGCCACCCTTTTGCTCAGAAACAACCACTTATAACTGAGTTATAAACACCTCGACAGAAGGGCTCGTACAGCTGCAGCGTTGCCAACAAACTATAAACAGCACAAAAACATCACTATAAGACTCGAACTATTTCTAGTAACCAATGATTTATTGATTTTAGAAGTCTGCTTGGTGATGCAGAAGCGTGATCAAAAGAAGTGGCTTTACAAAAGAGTTCTCCAAAGTAGCTTAAAAGGCAGGGCCAGGGCCATTATGTGCAGCCCTAATTGCTTTCATTTCAACCAGTTTATATTTTCATTTTCAAAGAATAGCAGTAGGTTTGTTTCAAGCACACGTAATAAGGAAATTACAGGTTTCCTCCACCCACATTTGGGCTGTCACTGATATGCCCGCAGGCAATCTGGCAGAGCCTCAGTCACTGCTGTCACTGTACCACACCGTACCTGCCACTACTTGGAAATACCGGGTCAGCGGTAGTAACAAACAGCAACAGCACTACAGGTGACTGATAAGCAAACTCAAAGTCCACCTGCACTATCTGAAAATCAAAGTAAAATTAAAAAAAAAAAAAAAAAAAGAAAAAAACAAAAACCAGTCTCTCCCCCACCTCCCCAGCTTTGTCCAAAGACACAAAAGCCCCAGAAGTGACGCTGAAGACCTTCAAAGATGGCAGTGCTACGTTGGCACCTTTGCCAATCGTATAATTAAGTTTTTTATCATAATTCCACATTATGGTATGTAATTGGTGAATAAATGCAGTTTTGTAATCTTACACTGATCACGTGAACTGCGGTCAATTTTGCCTTAAGAAAGGAAAAAAAAACCAAAAAACAAAAAACCAACCAAAACACACCAAACCAAAACCAAACCAACCCAGAACTCCCTAACTCAACAGCGCCTCTCGGACACCTCTCCACATCCTACTCCGGAGGCAACTTCCCTTGAGAAACACAGAGGAATTTAGGACTGGATCTGGCGGATCTGCCATCGCAACCCGAGCCGCGCGTTTCTGGGAAAAAGCCCTCCTGCTCCCTAAGCTCGCCTGGCCGGCGGGATGGCAAAGGGCATCCCCGCCTTGGCTAGCCACTCTTCTCCCCAACCGCCTCAGACCAAGCCTGCATGCGACCAGCTCTACAGGACAGGGGCCAGGAATAAGGAATCACAGACAGTAAGGCAATCTTTACAATGTCAGAAAGTGTATTTGGCATTTAAAAAAAAAAAAAGAAAAAAGAAAAAAAAAAGAAACAAGTGCATACAAATACAGCTAGAAGCATTTCTGTTTTGCCAAGTGCTCTCTAAAAAAAGCAGCGCAAGTCACAGCCTACATTGAACAGTAACTGTCACCAGGGAAGCACAACAAATAGTTGCTATAACAAAAGGGAAAAAAAGGAAAGAAACAAAAAACAAAACGAAAAAAAACCCAAAACAAAAAAAAGGAAAAAAAGGAGAAGAATTAGAAGAAATGCCTTTATAATAAGTACATACCTTTTGTCTTCAAAAAATATAGAAACACAATGTATTCAAAAAAATCAAAATTATACAGCCATGTTTATGAAGTCTACATTTCCCTTGTCTTGGAGATATATATATATATTTATATATATATATTTATAGATATGTACAGAATTCGAGCAGTTCGAGTTCAAGGTGGCGGCGGGCGGCGGGAGCGGGCCAGTCACGAGTCCCTCTCCTTTTTCACTTTCACGTCTCCGGCCAGGATGGTGGCGATCTCCCCCTGCATGAAGGCCCAGGGGACGTTGGAGCCGACCAGGGGACACTTCTCCCCGCTGGGACAATACACCTCCCCGCTGGCTCCCTGCTGCTTGATGCTCTGCCGGGAGCAGGGGAAGCAGAACTTGTGGGAGGGGACGGAGGGGCACTGCACGAAGTGGGTGTCCTCCAGGCGCTCGTGGCAGAGGGTACAACACAACGGGACGCTGGCGGCGAGGGACGAGTCCGGCAGGCTGGCGGGGTGGACGGGCTCCAGCCCGCCCGCCGCGGTGGCCCCCTGGCCCGGCACCTCCCTGCCGGGGCCCAGCCTTCTTTGGTTCATGGCGGAGGGCGAGGGGGGGCTGCTGCTGTTCCTCCGCGTGGTGGAGTGGACCTGGTTGGCGTCTTTGGAGGCGTGGTTGCCCCCGGCATTGTCCGCCACCAAAATGAGGGCGGCCATGGGCGACTGGCCGTTCTGGGCCGCCTCGGGCGGCGTGGTCCGGTTGGAGTGGGGCGAGGCGGTGGGCGGCGGGGGCGACATGAAGGGGGTGGCCGTCAGCGGCAGCTTCATCCCTTCCGACGAGGTGGGCAGCCAGGGCTGCACCTCCCCGTTGATCTTCGGGGGGCCCGCCTCGCCCTCCGGCTCGGGGGAAGGCTTCCTCTTCCGGGCGGCCCGGGCCCCTGCAGAGGCAGAGGGGAGGAGGAGGAGG